GCAGAGCTGTGAAGCTGTCTGTAACCTCTGCAGCGCGGGTTCCATCCCGGCCGCCGGCGAGAATCCCACATGGCGCGACACACCTCTCCTATCGCGCCTGCTGCACCTTTCAGCATATTTCGTCAGTCTGCCTATTCTGTTCCCCGCTCTGTCTCTGGTGAATCCTTCACCCTCCCGCAAATCTGGCCTGTACTCTGGTTCCTGTATAAATAAATAAATAAATCTTTAAAAAAAAAAAAAAAAAGTACTAGAGTAAACACACAAATAATGATGAAATAATAATAAAACATCCCCAATTAGAGAGGAAGGTCAGTTTTTGTTGTTGTTACTTTTTTATTTAGCAAAAGGGAACTGGAGGAGATCTCAGAGTACCCAGTAACTTCTTTATATAGATGGGCCAGAGAAGTGAAGTAACTTCTCCAGAATAGCACGACTGTTCAATCACAGAGTTGGAACAAGAAACCTTTGATTCTTTTTGTAGGATGTGCTTTATGTACTTATCCTTTAAATTTTTCTCTCAATTTTTTCTTGAAATTAGATGGCAGGATATAGATAAATAAAATAACCATCACCAAAGTTGTGTGTTCATACTCATTAAGATTCTAGAAAATACTAATTTAAAAGGAAACCTGCAATCCTATGTTTATTGCAGCACTATTTACAATAGCTGAGATATGGAAACAATCTAAATGCCCCAAAACAGATGAGTGGATCAAAAAGATGTGGTATATATACACAATGGAATACTACTTAACTATCAAAAAAGATAAACTCATGCCACTTGCAGCACATGAATGGAGCTGGAAGGGATAATGCTCAGTGAAATAAATTGGAAGGAAAAAGAAAAATATTGGATGATTTTATTTATAGGAGGAATATAGGGAAGCCAAACAAAGCGTCAGGGGAAAAAAAGGGACAAAACTAGCAGGAAAACTATAGATCCGAGACATACAGCAGGGAAGGGTGAGGGAGGGTATCAAAACAAGAAAGGGAAGAGCACTATGGTGATGGTTCACAGGTGATGTGATGGTGGGAGATTTATGGGGATTACACACCAGAGGGGAGAAATCAAATATTGTACAATAATGAACAATGATGTAAGAGAATTAAAAAAAAAAAAATATATATATATATATATATATTCCCTTGTTAAAGTAGCAGAACCCAATAAGTAAGCCAATCTTGTGAGAAAAAAGGACAGGGGGGAATGAGGGAATGTTTTAGGAAGTATCTTGAAATATTTCCCAGAATCCAAAGAATAGCTGAACAAATAACTGTGACTAATGGAAGGTAGGAATAGAGCCATCCCAAGGCCTTCAAGAGGACGAACTTTAAATCCTTTCAGTGATTTCTGGTTTGGGTCCATTAGTTTAAAATTCAAGAGAGAAAGGTGGGGGGGTAGGAGAGAAAAGGGGAGTGAGGGATAGAAAGAAGACAAAAACAATTGCTCACCCATTTCCCAACACCTGCCTTATCTAAATTTTTCAAGCACAGCTTTCTCTATGAAAGCTGCACCTTTCTCTATAATATGCTGCACCTTTCAGCATATTTCGTCAGTCTGCCTATTCTGTTCCCCGCTCTGTCTCTGGTGAATCCTTCACCCTCCCGCAAATCTGGCCTGTACTCTGGTTCTTGTATAAATAAATAAATAAATCTTTAAAAAAAAAAAAAAAGTACTAGAGTAAACACACAAATAATGTGTGTTTCCATTGATCTCCAGCTAGATGTTGTTCTCTCCTCCCCCTCCCCTGTTGAGTGTGTTTATGTTTTAATCCCAATACTCTGTGTTTCTTATAACCCTTAAAAAATTCTGCTTTGTGCAGTAGAAGGACCAGTTAGTAGCTGGTCATTTAAAATCAAAGATAGGGAATCTTAAAATGATATTAATATGCATTCCTGCTGCCTAGACATTTTATCTTAAACCTTATACATTCATATTTTGAACAAGGCCTTTGCTTTCAGTATAAAATTCTGATTGAGCATCAATTTTCTCATGAAAATGAAACCCATAAATTTGTTTAGATTTTGATTTTGCTTTGTTTAAAATGGAGCAAGGATTTAGTACAATGAAGCAATACACATTCTGAACCCGTCATGTTTCCCTTCTGTTCTCCAGTTCACTCTAATATTTAATTCATCAACAATTTTTTAGCAACTTTATGGCAAGTATTACAAAAGGATTAGTAAACCTAGTTTTCATGGAAACATCTTCCTTCCTCATACTCATAATTAATGTGATTATATAACATGTAATCAAGTTGCATAATTACTAACAGTGTAAAACTAACATAAACAAGTTCTAGCATAATTCGAGCAGAAGTGTGTGGGAGTACTAGAGATTAACCTGCTACCCACTAGTGTATAGCGAATGGGGCATCTGTCACTGTATTTAAAAGATGGGGGGAACTGAGAGCTTTGCTAATTTCAAAGTGGGTTAAGTGGAAGTCTATCGGAAGTGCTTCTAGTCTATTAAAATGATTTAAATTCTTGTCTTATCCCACCTGACCCCAAAATGTGATCTGGAAACCAGTAGTTAGAGGAGTCCTGAGACTCTTTTAAGGGGATCTATAAAATCAAAACTATTTTTATAATAATATCAAGACTTTTGCCTTTTTCATGCTGATTTTCTCATCTTTTCTCAGTTTTAGTTCCTAATATGGTAAATATCAATGAATAAAGCCCACACAAATGAATGTTCTCTAGGGCTCCTCAGTACTTTTTAAGATTATGTGCTGCAAACCATTTATGAATATCTACATTGGACTCTGCTTTTTAAATGCAGTATGCAAGTTTTAAACCTTGCCTAGAGAGTTGTATCATAAATTATTGTTTGTTTGTTTGTTTGTTTGTTTGTTTGTTTGTTTTAATTTAAGAGGAGAAGGGGAACTAGTAGATCAGGATGTATGGTTATCTAAAAATAGCCAGTTGATGGAAAAACTCATTGTTGATGAGTAAGATATTTCCTTTCACTTGAAAAGCATTTGAAAGCTTTTTAAGATTTGAAACAAGGGTGTGAGGATATGCTGGACAGAAAATTATGGCTTGGGAAGTGAATTTTATTGCTTTGTTTGAGTGACTTCAGAATAATGATATGCGTGGTGGCCAAGTAGAAATGGACAGGTGCTTTGGATGCTTCTTTCCCTTGTGGGAGTTGCATAGAGAGTATTGTCGGCAGAAACTTTTAACTGAAAATTACATTTACCCTGTCCACCTTGAGTCAGTACTGCTAAATAAAAGGGGAACATTCACTGGTGATATTAATAGGTAGCTCTTTCAGTATTTAATATTAATGAGCATATGAATATGTGACTAAATTATTTTCAGGAATGGCATTCTAGATTTATTTTGTTTTTTTAAAAGTATTAATTTATGTTTCAGTAGTGTACTTTTCTCAGGCATATAAGATATTTATACGTCACAATTTTCCAAATTTTATTATTGCTATAACAACTGAAGATAGAACCAAAGTTTTTAAAGATAGACCTTTGAGCTTCAGTGAAGAGGCAAACTTAAACATAAGATTTGGTTTTACTTTCAAAAAATCAAATTTTAATCTTAATCTTGCTATATTCACTAATGAGAAGAGATTATTTTAGATATTTAGACATAAGTTTAACATAAAATAATATGACTTTTTAATTTCTCTCCTGGCATATTTTGATATGCCAGATAGACACGCTTTTCATCGATGCTTTTTCTAGTCATCCAACAGTCTGTTCTTGAAATTGGTTGCATACTTTGTATTGTGGAACCCTTGTACTATTGTCTGTACACAGTGTTCATAATTAACATTGGAAGGCTACAATAAGGAGCCACCCAGATTTTGGAAACAAAATCACAAAATGTCACCAAAAAAAAGATTTTCTAGTTATAAATTATGTAGGCATGGTTCTGTGTGTACTCTACTACATTTTGGTCAATTTTTCTGTCTTCCTCAAACAACTGTGTGCTTCTTGAGGACATTAATGCATATTAATCATCTTTGATTCCACAGTGCCTAGATGGTGCCCTTTCACATAGTAGGCATTTAGTTAATGCTAGTGGAATGAACAATGTCATTCACCTTGAAGAGATGAATCATAAATACATTACTGATGATCCAAGTGTTTCCTTCTCAAACCTGGGTGAATTATCCCAAAAATATGACTGACCCATGATTGATTCTAAACATTGTGGACATATCCAGACTAGTAAATAAGGCTGGTGCCGTCATGGGGCATTCTTACATATATTATCAAGTAAGATAAGGTCTGTCAAGTAATTTGCCACAATGTTTAGTGCCTAGAAGGCACACAGTAGTTGCTAACCTTTATTTCTCTTTTCTGTTTCTTTTGAGTTTGTGTCAGGGTCACTATAAGAATTCTTACTAATGGTAGGAAATATTGCCCCTTTGATTGAGTTAACGCTCTAATTTGGACACTCCCAAATATGTAATTCTGCTGGAAAAGAGAAGTCAGAGCAGCTGGCATGCAGAACTGGTACATGATATAAACTAGAGAGTGCCTGGTTTCACAGTATTTTCTAGGCTGGCTGTTCTAGGCAGAGTGTATTCTAGAATTTTATTTGCATGCTCACAAATAGGTATCTCTATTTGACTTAGTGGTCCACATTAGCTTGTTTTCAGAAGTTGTTTTTCTGCAAAAGACTTAAGAGAAGGCCTCCATACCCTTTAAAAAATTCATAAACTCTTTCATACCACCCTCTTTAGAAAGAGTAAAGTATATAAAAGCTGTTAATGGCAAAGGGCTGCAGCAGCTCCATAAACAAACCTGACAGGAGCCCCAGATTTTTTACTAGCCAAGGATTAGGTTCCTCTCTAGCCTGACCTATATACTGCTACTATAAACTTTAAAGGATCCCTTTCACTTCTTTGATTTGTGTTATTAATTATATTTGATCGTAACCATTATTACTGTGGTTCTAGTGGGTTGAAATACATTCCTGAAAATGATAAATGTTATCTCTGAATACATTTATTAATTTTTTTCTTTCCTTTCAAGATAAGCTTTCATTGGAAGGAATAGTGGTACAAAGAGCTGAGTGCCGACCTGCTGCCAGTGAAAACTACATGAGATTAAAGAGGTTGGTGTTTTTGACTTTAAAATAACCGGTATTTCCTTTTTGAGACTGAAATACCTATATTTGTTTGTCTATTGACTGAACAAATACTGGGTTATTGTTGAAAATGTTTGCTTCAAAGGCTGTTTGCTTTTAAACCAAGTAAGAGTTTTTTTGGCAAGGTAACTTTCAAAAGGTGGACTGTTTAATTGGGATATTTTAAGTTACTGTGTTAACATAACGTGGAATCAGTGTTTTTACACCTCTTTTTCTAGTTGTCCATGTAAACCTTGATTCTCTAGAGACATACTTTATTTTCAGTTGCTACTAATTTCCACATTGAATATATGCCCAAAATACATTACTATATTAAGTACAGTTCAAGAATACCATCCCTTTGTCTTGATCTACAGAGAATTTTTATGAACTTACTTTGAGATTTTGCTTCAGGTTCCTCTTGCCCTCACTTTTGTATGTGGCTACTATTTTGTGATAATATTTAAAAATTATGATTACAAATTCTTGATACTGTTAATTTTATAACTTTAAAAGAATCAGCAATTTCTTAAACCCCAAAGAAATGTATCAGTATTATAAGTGTTTGTAGTTTGTATTGAATCCCTTTCAACCACATGTAGTTTAGAGTTAGAAGTTTGTCTATTCATTCAGTACTTATTACAGAAATAGTAGTTAACAAAACAGACCAAAATCTCTGCCCTCATGGAGTTTATGTTTTAGCAAATTGTAGCTGTTCAGAACTGATAGTTGAGAACACGTTCAAGTGTTAGCAACAGCTTCTCTGGTCATCAGTGTTCTCATCTATAAAAGAGGTGACTTGTGCTGGATCATCACTAAATTTCACATTATCTTTTTAATTTTCCCCTTTTGTCAATTAGATTAGAATCTGTCTCCTGGGAATGAAACAGAAATGATTTTCTTGTCTAGTAATTCCTCTAATTTAAATGCCTCCCCCCAAGGCAAGTAAAAGGATGACTATCAAAATGAAAAAAATTTTATAACAAAATAACCGTAGAACACAGGCAGGCAATGTTTCTTTCTTTGTAGCCTATAAAGTCTATAATACAAGGCATTTTGAAGATTTATCTTCAAATAAACTACTGAAATTGGAAAATGTAAAATCTGGTTACTAAGCTACTTGCTAAGATCTTATTCTATGATCTTGATTTTCTTTAAGGCTTCTAATGATTTCTGATGATGAGATCTAGCAAATCACCTGCTGTGTTTATGAAATGACTGCTTTTTTCTTATCAAGAAAGAAATTAAAATTATTTAGCCTTATGAGTATGCTGAAAGACCAGTCATTGCATATTTCAGTTACTTAGTGACTTAAGGAAACAGGATGATTCAAGACATCATAGTCACATAACTTTCATAAAATAGGGGATGCATGACATAAGTCTTAAAGGCTGAAACTTTTTTGACTAGGTGGAAAGGGTCAAGAGTAAGTACACTCTAAACATGCAGAGAGACATGTTAGTACAAAGACTTAGGGACCTGCATGTAGTTCTGTAGCCTGGAATACAAGATTTGTTTGAGGGAATTGCAGTTGTTGCAGCCCAGACCTCTTTTGTAACTCCATACTGACATATCCAAAGCCTAGTTGAATGTCCAATAGGCATCTCAGATGTGTCAAAATGAACTCCTAATTTTTCTCTGAAACCTAATTATATCAGCAGTCTTTCTCATCTGAGTTCATGCCAACTCTGTCGTCCCATTTTCACAGTTCTAAAACCTGTTATATTCTTGACTCCTCTCTCATACTCCTGAGCCAATGTGTCAGAAAAATCTTATTAACTGTACCTTTAAAATATTACACATATACCACCCACATGCTCTGCCATTATTTCTCACCTGGATCACTGCTGTAGCCTTCTAAAAGAGTTCCTGCTTCTCTCCTTGCCCCACTGTAGTCTGTCTCAGCACAGTAGTCTTAATAGTTCTGTTAAGAGGGTGAAATCATACAGGTCTCCTGTTCACATGTCATTTGCGGTGCTTCCTGTATTACTCATAAAATTCAGTTTCTTCGCATTTTCTACAGGCATCTATATGATCACCCCACCATTCCCTGCACTTTGTCCCCTACTTCATATCCTCTTTCCTCCCCTTCACTCCCTCTGCTCCAGCCACACTGATACAATAATCCATGAGGACTCTAGGCACACTTTTGTATCAGGGACTTGGCAATGAATATTCTTTTCTGTCAAGAACATGCTTGTTCTAGATACTTGCATGGCTCTTTCAAATCTCTTTTCAGATACTACTTTTTCAATAAGCCTTACCTGACTCCTCCTTTTTCCATATTTGTGTTTTCTAAATAGCACTTATCACCTCCTAATATACTATATAATTTCCTTGATTATATTTATTGCCAACTCACCCTGTTGTAGTATTGCATTTTAAAATCTCATGATTCGTTTAGTTGTGGATATGTTTTCAGGTCTAATATCCAATTCTTCCATCCACTTTGAGTTCATTTTTGTGTATGGTGTAAGATAATGGTTTACTTTTATTCTCCTGCATACAGCTGCCAGTTTTCCCAGCACCATTTATTGAAGAGGCTATCCTTGTTCAGTGTATGTTTTTGGCTTCTTTGTCATAGATTAGCTGTCCACATATATATTGGTTTATTTCTGGGCTTTTAATTTTATTCTATTTTTTGGTGTATCTGTTTTTGTTCCAGTGCCAGGCTGTTTTAATTATTCTGGCCTTAAAATATAGTTGGAAGTCTGGAAGTATGATACCTCCATGCTCTTTCTTCTTTTGTCAAGATTGCTCTTGCATCTTGTGAATTTCAGTAGTATTTACTCTAGTTCTTTGAAATATGCCATTGATATTTGTGTTGGGATTGTGTTGAATCTGTATGTTGCTTTGGGTAGAATGCATACACGTTCTTTTTTGAATGAATGGCATTTTAGATGACTTTGTTTTCTACTGTTTAGGGTAAACGTAGTTCCATGTCTTAACAAGATTATGAACTTCATAAAAACAGAGACCATGAGTTTTATTTTTCTACTTTCTCACCAGCCTCGCATTCCTGTCTGTTTTATATTCTCAGTACTTAAGCATAGTGTATTACAAATAATAAATATCTGAAAGTATTTGGTGGGTTGAAATAATTGAAATAGAAAGAAATGGCAAATCTAAGTAGAAACATACAAATCATTATTAGCGTTCAGCCTCTTTAATTTTTTTTCTCAGAATTGCAAATGGACCTAATTTTCCATTTCATGTACTTATGCTTGTGTGTGTGCATGTGCATTTATTTGTGGAGGAAAGAGAAATCAGTCTCTTTTATTCTAAGATGCCAAGCAGTAGGAAGCAAGTTGTGATTCATACTGTTTCCTAGGGAGAGGTTACCAGGCTGTACCTGCCTAGATTCCTAATGTCTCATATTACGGTAAAAGTTATCTTAGAATGTAAGGGAAAAGAAGAGGACCCCCTCATTCAGTAAATCAGTACATAATTTGTGGGCAGTGTGATTCATGTGGGTGAACTAGATTGAAGCCCAAAGAAGTTCCTGCAGTTAAAATTTTTGCTTAACACAATAACAACACTGAAGCAATTTGTTCTCAGTACATTTAAATTAGAATTTGCATATATTTCATACTTATAATTTCAACTAAAAATTTCATAAAGAATAGTTATTTTGAGTGATTTTTCTTTTAAATTGGGATGATTATCTTATGTCTACATCCCTTTATATTTTAAAAAAAAGAAGTACAAAATGAATTATAAATCAGGCAATCATATAGTTTGCCATTCAGAACAGAATGCATCTCATCAAATGCATGAGAATGAAAGCAGGATCCACAAGAGAGGGTGCCACCCTAAGACAACAGTGTAAACTGTCCCGGATAAACTGGGATGTGAAATCCCTTTATTATGAATACCCTGGATACACTACAATGCTGACCTTTTAAAATGAGAACTAAAAGGTAAGGGTCAAGTAAAGAAAGTGTGTACTACAAATTCTAGGCTAGAGCAAACTGCTATGGATGAATAAAACTGTGCTTCCGAGTAACCACACAAAGTTGGGAATATGATGATGCTGTGTTAACATTTTTGTATGAATTTTATGTAAAGTTTATTAAACAACCAAACGAATAATCAACATAAAGCCGTTTTCTAGAAAATCACTTTCTTATTAATCCTTCAATGAAAGTTGAGGGTGATTGCAGTAACTCAGAATTGTATAAAGATAATTTTATGATCAAGTTAAAATAATATTGGATTTTAACTTTCTGGTGATCTTATTTGAAACAATTTTTATTGAACAGATTTTTTTTTAAAGATTATTTATTTATACAAGAACTGGGGTACAGTCAGAGGTGCAGGAGGGTGAATTCACCAGAGACACAACGGGGAGCAGAACAGGCAGAGGGACTGAGGACACTGCTGAGGGGAGCAGTGGGCGAGGCAGGAGAGGTCTGCTGCGCCATGTGGGTTTCTCCCTGGCCAGCCAGGAATTGAACCTGCGCTGCAGAGGCTGCGGACAGCTTCACGTACAGCACTCAACCCACTGCGCCACCAGGAAAGCACTGAACAGATTTTTTGACAAATGTTGAGGTTAATGGTTAATACACTTGAATCAGTTAGGATGCTTTCATTTGCAAGAGTCAGAAAATTCAATGCAAACTGGATTAAAAATAAAAGAAAGTCATTGACTCACAAAAATAGAATCCAGTGATATTGTAGACTTTAGCCATGGCTTTGTATGGAAGTTCTAAGTGTCATCAGTACTCTAATTTTCTTGGGTCTCTCTTTCTCCAGCTGGACTGTGCTCACACAGGCAGCCTTTTTTTTTTTTTTTTTTTGTCCTAACAGACAGATGACCGCCTGTGGCTCCCAGCATTATTTTCCAGCATTATTTTTCATGTGGGGCCCCAGGAGTTAGATGATCTTTTCTTTAACCACAATTAAGCAGATCCCTTCACTTCCTTCAATGGGCAATATGGGTTCTTTGTCCCTGAACCAATAAATGTGTCAGTGAAGATGGAGTACAT